GCCCAGCAGCAACTCTCGACCAGCCGATGCACCAAACAAACCATCAATCAACCATCAAACCAACCAACTGTCAACTGTTTAAACCTGACTTTTGGGTGAGTTCTGGGGGGCTCCGATGGGAAGACGAAATTGTTTTCCAGATTTTTTGGTTTCTCAGTGGAAAGAAAAGGGCTTACATCCAGTTCGCCACAACCACAACATGTTTGGGAGGTAGAATTGAAAGGTTGGGTACATTCCAATTCTATACCCTTTTTCCATGACTACGCCTGCAGACCTTTGCTCTAATAAATTATGCGTATTCAGGCCCCTGCAACTGTAATTGGATAACACTTCTTCGTTGTTGCGTCTAGTGTAGGAGTCTTAGATAGTCTCTGGGTGCTTTCCAGAGTGCAGTTTAGACTGCTCAAACAGTCGGAATCGCCTTCCAAATATGCCTAGAGTAGTGCATCGTTAAGTAAATTACAGCAGCAACAGCCATCACTGAGACGAAATGAGGAACAGCTGCACTCATGAAGCAGTAGTAGCAGTCGTCGTCGTAGTAGTAGTACCACCAGCACTATGGATCATCGCAGTTGATGTGACGAGCCTGTTCAGCATCAGCAAAATACAAAGGGTTTGTGCCTTGAGGTTGTTTGCGGTTTCGGGCTCTTGAGCCCCAAACCCCCCAACCCCAAAAGCCGTAAGCCTCAAAGCCGCAAGCCCTATGTAGTCCCGAAGCCGAAACCCTTGAGACCCTAAAAGGCTTAAACCTCGAACCCCACATCCCTAAACTCGACTAACCCTAAAGCTCAAACGTTAAAGCCCTAAGGTCTTAAGACCCTACACCCCCAAATTTCTTTATGCCGTCTTAATTGCCGGGTCCGGGAAGCTCTGCAAGCAAGGAGCGTGGGCGGCGTGCTCAGAATAGGCCGCGATGGCCGTTGCAATGAATGTCTACGGTATAGGATTTAGGTTTCGGATTTTGCGATTTTGGGGTTTGGGGTTTAAAGTATTAGGGTTTAGAGTATAGAGCTTGCTGGCCTTATGGGCAGTTTCGCGTAGCGCATCATTGAAGCTGCCGTTTCTTGGCATTGGTGGCGATCACATCATGAACCGCACAGTAGCATTGCAATTAGTGATAGCAACAGTACTCATCATGAACACAGCAGAATAGAACAGCACAGAATAGAACAGTACTCGTTGTGGTCACGAACAGAACAGTATGTACAAGTATTTTTTATGAGCGTTATATGCCAGTAGCAACCCCGAGCGCTAAACATTACCTCCTTCCCGGCCTTGCCGCAGGTCGTGGAGTGGCCAACGACGTCGTTCTGGACTTCGATGGCGTCTCCGTATACCATGCAGAGATACATTGTCAGATGCATACCTGGATTCATCGGTTCAGGGATTCGGTTTCTTAACCCCTAAGCCCTCAGTCCGAAACCTTAAAACGTTTAAACCGGGATTATGGTCCGGGTGTCAAGGATCTAGCACCATAGTCCGCCCCGTTTTAAGAACCGCCCGGCCGACCAACTCAACCCATAAACTCAACAAGGCAACCCTGTGCACATACGTTAGGATTAATCTACCCCATAAACTCAACAAGGGCAACCCTATACACATGCTTTGGTAATTATTTACCCCATAAGTTCAAAAAGGCCACCCTATACACGCACTTAAGTAACAATCTACCCCATAAACTCAGAATGGCCACCCTGTATATATATATATATACATACACACACACACACACCCACCCGCGCACACACGCACACACACACACGCACACACACACACACACAAACACACACACAAACACACACAAACACACACAAACACACACAAACACACACAAACACACACACAAAAACACACACAAAAACACACACAAGACACACACACAAAAACACACACAAAAACACACACAAAAACACACACAAAAACACACACAAAAACACACACAAAAACATACA